ACGCCATATGCCAAATAACTGCTACGGTGTGCAATATCGTAACCCCATGCAATTTTGTGTCCCAAATGGAAACTCCCTATTAACAAGGGGCAGCTGCGAGAGGAGAGGAAGTAGTGAAGCGACAGATGTCACCACTGGGAGCTAATAGAGAAGAGATCTAGAACGGAGTAGATCTAATACATCACTACCATGTATAATAGCTATTCATCCTCTCTCTTGAAAGTTTTAATTCTCATCATAGAAGCGAAACACTGATAGCCTCATGAACTGCCTTGTGTGAATTTACCTCACAGTCAGAGAACTAAGCTGAATCTGTCGTTGTTTCGGTTTGGCTACAAATGCTCTCATAGCTGACCAATACAAGCTGAGTTCCAATCACTAGTTCTTTGGATTTCAATGGGTTAATTGAAATCCTCTTTCATTTTGATTGCGTTCTCCGTGAAATTTATACTGCAGTGAAACGTGAAACCACTTATTAAAGTTTTCAACACGCAAAAGATTTTCTCTGATAGTTTTTGTTTGACAGTGTCCCATTTATAGTGGGCATAAACTATAATATATTTCAAAACATTGTCTTTTTGATTTCATTTCTTCATTAAGTAGCGCAACCATTTCCATAACAGATTGTCTTATATGAAGTGATAAGGATGTCCATTTAGTGATTTTTGAGCTTCAAAAGTCCGAAACTTAAATTATAGTACCTCACTGAATTAAAAATAATGGTATTCAAGGGTCTGCAAAAGACTACAGTAATTGGAAACTGTCATTTGTTCAGAACTGTTTCAGATTTACTCACATAATGTGTTCCCATGGTAATGATAAACGCTTGCTCTCCTGATGCAACAACACTCATCCATTTTATGGCGTTATTTTGCTAAAATTTCCTATTAATTAGTCATTTATAAAATTAGGAAGACAGTAATCTCGCAGCACTGTTCCCAAAAAATATAGTTTGAAAATTGAGCTTGTGTCCCCCTTCTCCTTTTTCTTTACTCTTCTACATGCTGAAGCTATGAATATTTTTTCTCCATTTTTCCCAATGGATTCTGCAGGACTGCTAAAGAAGCTGTAAGCGGGTTGTATTGGTGGTAGTGCAGACAACATCTGATACTTTTAAAAAACATAAGGTTAGGAAAATCATTTTAATCATGAGGCATCTAAATGAAGAAGTCCCAGTACTTTATATTGATTGCTTGCGCATACTAGGCTTGCGTCCCTCTTCTTCTCTTTCTTCCTTTCTATGTGTGTGTGTGTTTCTGTGTTTGTGGACTCATTATATGTCCCAGTGTCCAGTGATTTCAACAAGGTTCTTTTTTCAGGAGCCTATCTATGTATTTGTCATTTGTATGCTTTATTATTGCTAAGCTTAGTTACAACTATTACCCAGTCCCAGTACTTTATTGTCCGCGTGTGATTGGGTTTAAATAATTTTCTGACTAACTGAGATTAATATTTTTCCTCGAAAATCATACTGAATTTTATAGACAATTTTTGAAATGTATCTATTATGTGATCAGATTACTATACACAGTCATTACTGAGAGACTTTCATTCTGGAACTTTCGTTCAGGTTTTATACAATGGACCGTCGAGGAGGATTTCAGGGTGGTTTCGGCAGCGTCAACACCGGTAGTTTTGATGAAAGATGGTCCAGGTATTTAAACTAAACTACTTCTCAACGAGAAAGAAATACTCAAGCTACATTTGTTGCAAACTTTAAAAGCAAAATTTTCACTCTCTGAGTCAGTTTGCACCTTATCTGGCCCACTAAAAGTTTTTTTTGAAATTGAATTCTCCCATGTTCTTTCCACCAGAATTTGCCTTCGCACTCCCTAAAAATGTAAAGCTATGGAATCTATTCTGCACATTAGTAAAATAAAAAACTGATTTCAACATTATGTAATCTTTGAAAATGAGTTTTTATTTATTATTTGTTATTCATCTAAACCGGAAAATTAATGTATACATTTATTTTTCAACATATTTAATAGTTAAACTAGCGACAGAAATAAGGTTAGCTCTTTCTCTTTTTAGAATTCCAATTTTCTAAATTCTTGAGAAACCTTGCAGTTCAGCGAGAAATCAAGGTGCTGGACCACGGCGAATAGGTAGTGGTTTACGCCGTATAACAATTGATTGGGATAAGCCATGGATTCCGGTAACAAAGCTTGGCCGTTTGGTAAAAGATGGACGAGTAGCTACAATAGAAGAGATCTACCATAGATCGATACCCATCCTAGTTGGTCACCTTGTCATTGTCACTCAATAATAGCCTCATGATTAGTGCAAAACTTGGAGGAAAATAAAGGAAGAATTGAAAGGAACCTGCATATAGATGAAACATAACACAGAAATCAAAGGGAAACAGGCTGGGTTGGGTAATAACAAACAAAGCGCTGACACTTCTAAAGGTAACCGAGTCTCGTGGTAAAAGGGGTTGAAAAGTTTACTGCCAGAATACGTTAGCGCTATGAAACAGAAAGACTGGAAAATTTTGGTCTTAAATTTGGTACGGCATTTGAAATAATTGATGATATGCTTGACTATACTGTTGACCTGACTGTACTGACATGTGTTAAGTAACAAACATCATTGCAAGAACAAACGCGAGCAACCCCGTAAAATCAATCCTGCCAATATCAACATAAACTAAATTTTCATCTTACCTTTCGATTTAGGGTTTCTTGTAAGACCAGTTAGCATAGTAGAAAATATATTTGCTACATGAAGACCTGCCTCGAGCATGCCAAGTACGCATAAACCAATCGCTATAAACTTTAAAGCTGCTAAATCCATATATCACCTTTAACTATTTCTTCAATGTATTAATCATATTCTAGAGAAAAGTCAATTACTTTACTGCATCTGATAAATATATTGCAGGAATATCAATTTTCTGAATCCAAGGTTATGTTTCCTTTCACAGTTTTGAAATTTATGTAGTCTGTTGAGCCAGTTATATATAATCGTCGGTAATCTTTAAAAAAAAAAACTCTCTAACGAAAGAAACGATTATTTAATTCTTTTCGAATTGATGGATCCTACTCAAAGCTGCGCCAATTGAAATTTAATGAAAGAGAAAGGAATAAAAGAATTGCAGGAATATCAAATTGTGGATCTATTAGTACCAAATCTGAAGGAGCAGGTATTGAAGATTCTTCCGGTACAAAAGGAAGTTCGAAGTGGGTTGCGCACTCGATTTCGAGCGTTTGTTGCTATTGGTGACAAGAATGGGCACGTGGGTCTTGGGATGCAGTGTGCAAAACGTGTCAGCACCGCGATCAGACTTGCAATTTATCGTGCAAAGACAGCAGTGGTGCCTGTACGACGAGCCTATTGGCACACGGAACATGGCTTACCTCATACTATACCCTGCAAGGTACTTACTATGCCTGTTTTCCTTGCAATCTAAACAGCCTACTGTTACTGATTTTTCAACGTTACTACCCTATAACAAACTTATCTTCAGGATTTTGAAATGAAATGAATACCACCGTCTAATAAAACTTCGATTTATGTTCAGTTTCCTCTCTTCAAAGGAAACTTGCGCCCTTAAAATTTGTGTACTGGAAGATTTAACGAAAGTTGGTCAAAAAGTGATGTTAAAAGATATCGAAACCATCCAAACTATTATGTTTTTATCAGTTAACTAGTTAGGCATTCAGCAATTTTCACAGGTAATTTTAAAAACTTTGAGCAAATAATTCTACTGTGGTTTCCATATGCTTTAACTACATTTCATCCAAATTTTCCATGTCCTCTAACTACATTTCATTCGAATTCATCGACTTTTACACTTATCCTTAAATAAATGTAATTGCAAGACTCATACAAATGCTTTGCTTTGAAACATAGACTTGTAAAAAATTTCAGCCTTTATTTAAAAAATGAAACCTTACCAACTACAAAAAAAAAAAAAAAAAATCAACGAAAACTGAAGACTGCTAAAAAACTGTCAACAATTACTTGGTCAGCAAGAGTTTGGCTCTGTTGCTATTATTTATACAAGAGGATTTTCAGAAAGACTCTGATGAAGATTCCATCCAACTTAGCAACACAGCTGTATGCAAATTTGAGATTGAAAAATCCTTGAAAAAGATTCATCTGAGATTAAGAAACCTTTGGGGAAAAAAAGTTTAAAACAACGAATAGAAAGCTCTGCGGAACGGAATCGAATAACATATTATTTGAGTGTTTTGGATTAAAAAGAAGGAAACCTATTAAAAGGAACACAAAGAAGGAAACACAGCGATCTTATGCGGTATAAAATCCGGAAAGAAAGAAGGCACAAAACAACTCGCAATCCATAGCAATATTAGCAATATTCTACCGTTTCTTTTCTGTTATCTCATTCTATAAAAAAAAAAAAACTGGCTTATAAATTAGAATATGAGCGTGGTAGCGAAGGAAGATTTACTACACAATTACTACTCATGAATATCATTACTAAATCAAACAGATTCAATTAGAGGTTAACAACAACCGTTTCGATTAATGTTTTACACATCTACAACCCTTTACACTATGGTGCATCAGAAAAGAAAGGACAAAAAATATTTTATTACTTCAGTCTTTGTAGAAACAAACGAAACCAAAGAAGGGATGTATAAAAAGTAAGGAACTTGAGATTCTCAAGTTCTTTACTTTTTGAAATATGACAAATTAGCCAAGAATACTTGGTTGGAGAGTAACTATATTCGTTTTGATTGATTTTGCGCAGTCACCAGCCCTAGATATTATGAAACGATGAACTGCCGTAACCTGAAAAGAAAAGGTCTTCACACACTTGAATTGAGTGAAGCTCAAATAGATCCAAGGAGAATAAACAATCAAGAATACATCGAAATAAAGTAGTAGCGTTGTTTTGTAATTAGTGAGAATTTTTTAACCCTTCAATTTCATAAACTGCTGAGATACTCGGCTACAGCATTTTCTTTCCCGAAGATTTTCACATCACACTTCGATAGAAAAAAAAGAGGTAAATGCATGCACTGATAGATTTAAGGAGGAAGATACACACGAGTAAAGTAAGTGTAAATTGCCTTGTAATCATCTTCATCAGTACAATAACCAAACTTGAACGTCAGCAGCTCAGGGATTTTTTTTCGGCTTGAAACACGCAGTACTGATCCATATGCATGACGTGCTCGTAGGATGACCCCTCCAACCTATGATACACAAAAATATAATCATTGTAGTGAAAAATTTCTTTGAAAAACTAAGTTCAAAAAAAAAAAAAAGACACATCGAAAGAATTTGCTGGATTTAAAAAATACAATCAATGCATAAAATCAATAAGTGGGTGACTATGGTTGAGAAAAATCTTTAAAGTTTTTATTTTGAAACTTATAAACCTTTTCTTCTTGATGAAAAATGAGAATATGTGTCGCTGTTAAAGCTAAATAGCATTCCACAGTACGGTGACTTCTGCCTTCTGTAAATACTTCCAACCCTTCAAAATACTCCAGTATACCATTTTGCTTTAGAACATCGTCCAACTTCTGAAGTTTATCTTTAACCTATAATTTATTAAATTCTGTGATTCGCTAAATTCTCTCACTTCTAACGGACGTTTTTGACTTTATTAAGAATCTAGTTAATGTTAAACCATATTTCAGGTGACCTATACGAATTATCCTTACGACGAATTCAAATATGAAAACGCTAACTTTTGGTTCATAGAATCTTGGACTGGATGTAATAGCAATAGTTTCTGTTTCAGAATCAGAATCACTAAGAGTGAAGACGGACTTTTCGTTACGGTATCGTTTACCATGCCGCTGACTTGTCTCAACATGGGTAAATTGAGCAGTATTTGGACCAATTGTCACAATTGTGGGCAGTTTTCGCATTTTTTCTCTAATTGAAGGTGCTGTTGCTTTGACTGCGTCGAGAATACTACCAACACCAAGTTTCCACTGGAAAATACCTTAGCTTTCCGAAGAAATCTTTTATGAAATTCTCAACAACTTACTTATTTTGCAAAAATCCTAGTAGAATTACATATCCTCAATAAACGAATCAATGACAATCAGTCTCGCATTAGCACAGTTAGCTAATGAAAAGTTTTCCAAAAACACTTACAGACAATTTTCTTTCAGACTCTTTTTCGACTTCGTATAACGCCTGCCTATTACACTCCTTACAAAGGGCTGAATAATGTCCATCCAAACGTTCAAAATTTGGTGCAAGCTGTTCATGAAGAGCTAAATAACACTTTTCTCAAAAAGTTTAAAGTAAACATACAAGATGAAATGATTAATGAAATAAAAAAAAGGAAAACACCTTTATAACCTCCGTCTACCAAAGCAATATGTTTTCGTCCCTTTTGTAAAAAACTTGCAATAACCATATGCAAATAAAGATCATCTTCACGTCCAGAACCAAGGAAAAGGATATGCTCATCAGAATGAAAAGAACATCGATAAGCGTCCAGACTGGATAAAGCCAATTTATATTGAAGTGGTGCTTCAACAAACTAAAGAAAAACCTCCACATTAACAATAGATAAAAGAAGGGAATTTGTAATGGACAAGAATGTCGCTTCAGATAACCTAGTTAAACCTGCAGTGAAGAATTAGCTACAGTAGCCTTGTCAGTTATTTACTTGAGGAAAGTAACATTTTTGAAATTACTTTAAAGCTCAAATGTCGAATATGAAGGGCACGAAAGACATTTTATTATGGAGCATTGATAACTCACTTAAAAACATACACTTCACATTAGTTCCAGAATAAAAAAGAACTCCCACACCCGAACAAAATGAAAAAGGAATAGTGATTTGGAAAAAAAAATGAAGCGCACCAGCGTAGAGTCCAGGTTGTACGAACCATCCAAATGGCCAGCTGAATATTGATCATGAGATCGAGCATCAATAATAAAGAAATTCGGTTCTGAATCCTGTTTTGAAAACTGTATTGATGGAACAAAGTTTAAAATTATAGAACAGAAATTGCCAACTATTTCTACGCTAAAATGGACAATATAATTACTGCACTGAAATGTACTGAGAGGCTTATTTTTCACTATTACCAAATTACCAAAGGACAAACTTGACATGAGAAAAAAATCTTGAAACTAAATTGTAAGCAGATCCCTTACAGCTGCATTAAGGTTTTCATCCAAACCCATTCTGATAACATCACGCGGATCAATTGGCAAGGCAAGTAACTTTGAAAGATCAGCTTGCATTTCTTCTACATGTCGAGAGCCAAACAAAACGCGTTGAAAATCCTGATTAAAAATGATTTTGAAAAATACATAAAACTAAACATAACCAGCAAATGAAAAGAAATAGGAAAGTAAAAGCTTTTAGAAACCACTATAATCCCTCAGGATCACAGATGAAAATCTGTATTTGAAAAGATGAAAACCTGTATTTGGAGTAATGCTAAAGAAATCTGCAGTTAAACGTCAAATGAAATTACTTACTTGTTTAATAGACGATGGTGTCTGATTCAGAAACAAAACCGATAAATCAAAAAAGTCGTCCACATCATCTGTGGAAAGCTCTTTCACAGCAAATCGAATCGTATCAATCAATTCACTGCAAGGATAAAAATTTAACTGAGAGAATAGCACAACTAGAAATGAGAACCGCACCAAGCAAAAAGAAAGGACCTTTTTGTGTTCAGGGCCATAAGCTGATCGGAGCAATTGATTAAGAAGACCAAAACCATTGTAAACAACAAGTATGGATCACCCTCAACAATTATTTGTTAAATTCTACTGAAATCACTTGTACAACTACAATGAGAATTAACTTCACTTCCAACTTTATTTTCATTAATTTATGAATACTGAAAACCCGTCAGTAATTGGCAGATCAAAACTTATTCAAAGATTTACTCTCTCGAACAATTTGTCCCACACCACATACAATGACTGCTTGCAAATTTCAGGAGCAAATAGCGCAGCGAAAAATGGACGCCCATATTCAAAAGAAGTAACTTTATGGGACTCCAGATGTGAGCTGAGCAACGGGTCGTGATACTGCACAATCAAATGCATAAGCTGATAGCATACGGCACCTTTCAATATGTCCCTCAAAAAAAAAAAAACCAAAAAAAAGTTGGTGTGGATGATTAGACCATGCCCTTTCAAAAATTTGGGTAATTATGAACAATAACATCAGTCAAGAAGCTACTTGGCAGTTACGTTAACAAGATTATTATCAGAACCAGATAACGAGAGAACCTTGGCACAAATTTCGTAGTTATAGCATAGAATATATTGTAGAGTTCATCCACACTACACCGTAATGGCACCAACATTTCTAAAATGTTCGTATAGCTCTCATCGAAGTCACATTCTTCACGCTCACAAAACAATGCTACTACAGATTCCAGATCACTGTTACCCAGCGTAGATGGACATCGATCAAGGATTTTCAAGCACGCTGTATGGATTTGCTCATTTTTCTGATGTGATATCTTCCGACATGGAATACCTGGCTTATTCTGAATGCCGAGATTTTTCTGCAATAAACTTTTTATCAAGTACTAATGAAGTACAACTCGACTTTAGATCAACCTTCGATAAAAAGAATGAAAAAACGTACCACCCATTTCTCGTGATACGATTCCAAATTTCTGAAATATTCAGTGTCGGATAGCGTAGCTGATGATTTCATTGTCTTAGTTTCACCTTCATTCATAGTTTCGTAGCAAACAAATAATTTCTGAACTTCCGACAGATCAACTAAGAAGAACTGACAACAGTACACCTGAAATACGACAATTTTCCGGACTTCCGTAGAGTGCATTTCTTGTTGATATCAGTTCGACACGGCCGACCACCACAAGACAGTTCCTAAAGATTCTCACTACATCACCTGTCCAACTGCCCTACCACCCATGTTAGTTGATTATCCATTGGTTAGGTTATCGTGGAATACAGCAGTTACCCCACCGTCTCCCTCACCAAATACCCTTGCAATTCAAACTACCTCAGTCATCGCGTCAGGCAATATCAGCCAATGCAAATATCTGTCTCAATGCTTCTATTCCATCAGAAATACTCTTAACAAAATATCCGGCACAGACACATCAAAATAATCTGCGAACGCGAACATTATCGACACGGTTGAAACATCCTGAAAAGTTTGCTAGTTAAGAGTGAAAAACTCTAAGAAGTTCAGTTCCTAAGTGAGCTTGCAATAATGACGATGCTATTATTTACACCAATTACTTTGTAATTGTTTTATCCATAATAATTAATAATGATGATAAATAATAATAATAATAATAATAATAATAATAATAATAATAATAATAATAATAATAAGTAATAAAAGCATATAAAGGAGCCTTGCGAATATATGTGCTTTACAACCTTCATTGATCATAAATCTTTTTTGATATTAGCCAGGTAATGCCAGTGCTTCACGTTTGAGGTTAAGGAAACATGGAACTATGGTTTAGGAATATCTGTGAAATGAGGGATTGAATGAACTGACGTCATTACCCATAATGTATCCAGCTTATAAGGCCTGCCTCATCGCAGCTTGCTGCATAATATGTATGGATGACTCCCACGGCCTTGGGATGAGCTAGCCACGCCACATAGTTGGCCTCATATAACCGAGTTAGACTGGTTACATCATCGACTGGCCCTCATATCACATGTCGTCATGAGTTTCGCTTAACTTTGAAATATGTTAATTACCATTTTTCCTTGGCATTTGTTCTGAATCAACATTCTTTTACTCGCATTTATGTTTTCTGCTTTTTAAACCAAATTCTTGAAATTTAATCAATAATTCCGCAAACACATCATTCAACTTTCTGCCATTTTTAATACAAAGATTTTCACCCATCATATTCCGATACATTAGAATGGCTTTGGAAACTTTTGGGTGTAATCTATAATCATTTGGCATTTGAGAGCAAAGATGTAAAGATCTTCAATTTCCAACAAAATAGGTGATGATATGCATAGCTATAAAGATAATTGGCAGAAGGGCAAGCAGACATTTGAAGTACAGTGTTTCTGATGCTTCGTTTATTTGTAGTAAATCGCTTGTCGAAATGGAACGATAGCGACTCATTTTAGTGCTGAGAAAATTCAACAAATTGATGGCTAGATACAGAAAAGGTTAGTTATGCAGTCATGAGCTTCATTATAAACGTTATGAGATTTAAAATCCACATTTCTTTTGTGTAAGAATGATCTCTTTTATCAGTTTGCAAATTTTAATTAAGGAGTTGTCATTCAACTATTTAAATGACTAATTGAATTTTTTCTAATTTTAACATTATGTTGATTCGCCAATTTTGAGATTAAAAGAGCACAAGAAGAAATATGGAAGTTGCCTGAAAACGATCAAGTATGATACAAACTGAAATATCAGTATATAAAATAGGAAGTTTGGATAATGGTGATTATATGGTAAAATGTTTTTCAAGGTAAAGATGCGAAATATGCGGAAACAATTAGCGATGACGAAGATCAGAAAGGAATCAAATGTTCTGTCATAGAGGATTATTGGCAGAAGGAAGCCGACATTCCAGTACATCAATCAATATTCAATATATCTGAACAACCTTTTTCAGCAATAAATACAACCTTACTGCCAGATTCGTTTGCAGAGGCATCGGAAATGTAAACTTTTCATTTTTATTTAAAAAATCCTGTTTATTAAAAGTATGATTTAACGGAAAATAACCAAGCATTAACAAGACTAAAACAGCAATCAATATATCGTCTGGAATGTAATATTATCCCTCTTCATAATTGCAATTTATTAAAAACTAAATTTATCTTAAATTGAAATGGTGAAGTTTTGTGTTTCAGATGGTATCACTAAATAGATTTGATAATGATTTATTATTCTTGAAATAAAAAAGCGATTATGACTCAACTTTTCCAGGATGAAACTTTTTCAAAGTTTATTTTTTTTAATCTTCTAGCTTTGACGAATTTGGATTCCGGATCGACTACAAAATTAATAGCAACAATTTGTTGCCAGTTGAAACGTCTCAAAATCGGTAATCAAATTTGTTTTTTCTGAATTCCAAAGAATTATTGAAGTGAAGGTTTACGTGCTATAATCATTTGCTATTTGTGATAAAGCAAAGATGCAAGTGCAATTGTACGGTACGATATAACTATGTATTTCCCATGAGTATTAGAAAAACTGTATGTAAAAGTTATTTAAGAAATTAAAAAATATTTCTAAAGGTACAAAAATACAAGTAAGCAATAGAAGTTGACAACGTAATTTTCTTAAGGATGCGCTGGATAGCATTGCTTGAATTTGGACACGATGATGTGAAGGAAGAGTTAACATGGTCAAAAGTGGACGTGGAAAAATTAGATTCTGAAAAGTTAATGACTCTTATCCATGAAGTTGGAATAGCTCATTCGCTTCGTCCATTTTTATGGCCAAGGTTTTGTGGTGCAACAAAAAAGAAAGCGGCAAGTGCTTTCAGCTATTTTGAGGTAATCAAGCACTGCGACAAGGATGAGTCATCAGCAAGTACGCAGATTGAAAAAGACTTACCAAGGTGAAAGATGGCTAGTTTTCAGTTACATTCACTTAAAAAATCTCGAAATTATATTTCCATCAAACTTCCTTCAAACCTTTTCTGAGCTTAGAATCTTACATAGAAGTATTTCAGGACATTACCTAACAATATATGTTTTTGGCATTCCGGTAGTAAAGGTATCGAAAGCTTACGAAGAGTTCTGAAATCAATTGCTTATATTTATCCGGATGTCGGTTACTGTCAAGGAATGGGTGTTATTGCAGCTTCGTTATTACTATTTTGTCCGGAAGAAACAGCATTCTGGATTATAGCTTCATTAATTGAGGATATATTTCCACCCAATTATTATAGTCGATCATTTCTTGGCTTACAGGTAAATAAATCATGTTGCTTTCGCTTTCATGTGATGGCAACAACTCCTTTTTGTGAATAGCAGTTCAACTTTTAATTTTATTGAAGCTAGCTTAAGATTTCTTATTTCTATTTTTTTACAAATTGATCATTCTGAATGAGCTACATTAATAAGCTACCGTATTATATTTCGGATGGTCGTCAACATTCTGCTTGATAGTAAGCAGCTATATTCAGAATGTTTCAGGCAGATGAACGAGTTTCGCAGCATCTAATTGGGATACATCTGCCGGAACTGCATCATATCTTAAAAGATAATGACGTTGAGTTATCATTAATTACTATTAATTGGTTCCTAACAGCTTTTGCATCAGTCCTTTCCATGCGAGTTTTGCTGCGTGTTTGGGATTGTTTGTTCGTGTTCGGTGGAGTGACGATGTTCAGGGTAAAAGCATTACTGCCAGGAGGATCTTTCTTCTGCATGTTTTGTATTGTAGTAGTGTGCTGGACTCAGTTGACCGGTTCTTTATTCTCTCGTTGCGAAATAATTTCAAGGAAATAAATTAAGAAGAAGCTGGATTTAGTATCACTAGGAAAATTATTTCCTAAGCAGAATCCTTAATTTCGGTTTTCAAACTTTTTTACTTGAATTATCTGTAATTCTATAAAAGCAAATTTTTTTACAGATGGACTAAGTGATGAATGAATTAAAAGCAAACTATTAAGTAGCCGGTGTTCAAACACAACTAGTAATAAAATAATTGTAAAAGCCATCAAATTTTCTTACTTTATTTCTAGGTGTTAATCTCGATTTTGAAAATCAAGGAGGATGATTTAATAGAAATGAAATACAATGAAAATGTTACAGTAGAAGTGTTCAATACAATTTCGCAGATTCCAGCGTCTTTAAGTAATCCAGGTAATTTCTCCTTTTATTTCACTCCCATAGCAAACACTTCTTACAAAATTGTTTACAGGATATTTAATGGAACTATGTACATCTTTTGAATTTTCAATAACTACGGAGTTTATCGAAACAGCTCGAAAACATCAGCAAGCAATTCTATTAGCTAGTCAAGGACTTATCATAAACACAAATAATGTTACAAATTTACCCAAACAGCATGTTCGAAGACGTAAGCTAGTGGGATCAAAAAGTTTCGTGCAGCAGATATTTGCTTTATCTAAAGAACAGGTGTGTTTAGCATGTGAAGAGCTTTAATTAATAATAACTGATGTACAAAAAGCTAATCAAGAGAAAATTCATATAATAAAAATTTATTAAGCAATGATGAGTTTGCTGCTTTGATTCTTGCTGTTTCATTCTTTTCCAACTTCACTCAAATGAAATTTCAAAAGTTTTTATTTACAATATGATCCCGTACTTTCAATTCGGAACTTTGTTGTTGAAAGTTTATTGATGAAAACTCGATATAAATAATAATTTCTAAATGTGGTGAAATCATATTAATTTCTGATTCTCATTATTATTTTTAAAATTTCGAGCTTATGCAAAAGTTAATAGAAATTGTTGAATTGATTCAAATCCCAAACTAAACTAATTTTGTCTGCAAAATTTGAAACCAAACTTTTTTAAATTGCATTCCATATTATACTTCAGTGGCTCAAATTTTTTGTTTCGTGCAGCAGATATTTGCTTTAGAAGGGAAATACTTGGACAAGAGTTTCCGTTCTTCATTTAATCTTTTTAAGGGACTATTTGATATATTTAATGTACTAAAAGTTTTTGCACACTATAGTCTTCCAATATATCGAAATACCAGTAATGAAGTTCTTGTTTCTAGAAATTAACATCTATTTGTGAATTATTTTCAGGATATTGAAAATGATCCGAAGACAAAAAATGTTCGGCTTACTGAACTTATTATCGATTTACGAGATGCCATTTTGCATATCTGTCGATATTTCATTGATTGCGATGAGTCGTTTAAAAGAGTGGTTAACCTACAGGTTATTTATTTCAATCATTGCTTTACACTTTTTCTTATTCCTTATGGCAAGTTTATCAGACGAAGACTAAACTTTATACACAATTTCATTTAAGGCAGACTACTCGGCAGAGGATCTGCAAAATGAAAAAGAGGAATTTTTAAAAACGCGACATAATGAATATCGTCGTGCGAGAGCATTGTTAGATTTTAGGCGGCAAGATGAAGATGAATTAGGATTCAGGTGCAAGTCTTCAATTTTTTATTCGATTTCAGTTTCCAGTTTTATTTTAAAAATCTTTATAAAAGTGAATCTGTTCGTAACGACATCGTCGCTTGCAGGAAGAATGATATAATAACAGTTATTTGTGAAAAAGATGAACACTGCTGGATTGGCGAAGTAAATGGATTAAGGGGATGGTTTCCCGCAAAATTTGTCGAAGTCCTTCTTTGCCATTTGACTGATATTTATTTTTTAACTTATAAATCTACCAACACTCTGTTTCTTCATTTCGAAATTTTATGGCTTTTATGCCTGCTTGTGTATTTTCAGATAGTTGATGATCGCGGACGTGATTATACAATATACGGTGATGAAGCAGTTTGCCCAGAGATAACCGATAAGATCCGTAGACGTCTGGCTTCAGCGTTAAAATTGATTTTAGAATATGGATTGCGAAAGTCGGGTGTACTTAATTTTGCTTCACATCCATGGCTTTTCATTGGTACTTTTTTGATATCTGGAAAAAATGAATGGAACTAATTCTCCCTTTTTTGAACGATTTGAAAGGGATCACTATTTGCTTTTTTTAGAAGAGATGTCACAAAGCTTTGTGCAAAAACATTATAATGCCGTTTATTCTCGTTTAACACTTTGTTCAACATTCAGTTTGGACCAGGATGGAGAGGTGATTTTAGCGTATTTTCTCAAATTTTTGTGGATTTTGGCAACACTTTTATAGGAAATTGCGAATTTTATAACTTAAAATTGGGACTGAAGTAATAAAAATTTTATCAAAAACATGAGGGTTAAGTTCGTAGTTGAAATTGTGTTTGACGTTTGCTGGCAAAATGGAGGCTAGTATGTAAGCGAAATCTTTGTTAAGATGAACTATTCCTTAATTAAATCCATGTAATAGCTTAAATTGTAATAGTAAGCACCAAGATTCTGTCATATTTAGAGAAATTCCCATAAAAACTTATTTGATAGGAATGATACTGATCGCATCATCAAGGAAGATTCTGAGCTTTAGTTTGATTTTTTGATTTAATTGCAATTGCGCAAAGACTGCAATGTTTATCATACACAATATTTGATGCTGAATCAAACAAATGTGTAATTCGTACTTCAGTTTTTCCAAGCTGTCGCGGAATTTCGATACTACAACACTTGATGTCAAAAACAACACTGTTATGAATGAAAGAAAAGTGGTACTCGTAGCGGGAGTACTCAAATTAAGTAGTATTTTAAGTGTTAACTTACATTTATTAGGTATTAGCTCCGGAAGAACTGTTATTTCGTGCTGTAAAGTTGATCAATGAATCGCATAATGCAGTTGGTGCCCAAATGGATGTAAAATTTCGCTCTCTAATTGCTCTAGCAGTTTGCGAACAATGCCTTCATTTGTGGTTTGATTTATTATGCAGCTGTCCAGAACAGGATCAGATCAGAATTAAATTTTATCATTCATGGTCATTTATACGATCACCCATATGGAGGCAGGTTAGCATTTTTAAAAATCTTACGCTACTCAGGTTCTGTTATTCATGATAATGTTGAAATTACTGTTAGATGTCTCATTAACTCAAATAATTAGAATATTCAGTGTTTTGGGTTTCACATTTAATAAGTGTGCGGTTAATTATTTGCATTTGCCAAAATGAAAAGATTTTTTTACAGATAAAATGTGAACTGCGACTTCTGGCGCAATTCTCCTTTAATCTGAGTGTTGATTACGAAGTTGCGGATATTGTAAGAAGGAAGAAAAATTTGAATTTAAGCAAGACACTGAAGAAAAAGGTATTTCTAAAAAAAAAACATCATAGTGATTTATTATCTGGATGTATTTCAGAGGTCATGGAAAAAATTAGACTATTCGTTCTCTGTTTTTCGTTATGCTTGTATTAATCATTCTTTTCTTCCTGAGTTTTAAATATAACGAAATTTCATGACTGAATAAGTACAGTTTCCATTCATACGCTTTCTGTAGGGTACTATCAGTTTGATATAATTCAAACTTGAATTTTGTAGTTTCGTTGATTTCAGATGAAACTAACTGGAAAACAGCATTACTTTTAAATGACTGAATAAAATACGTTTTTTCCTACAAACCATGTTAATTCCAGGCCTTCTCGAATATGCTACCAACAACAATTCGAAGTTCGTTTGATCAGCCATTAAAAGAAGGTGTGAGAGATATGCTGATTAAACATCATCTCTTTAGTTGGGATTTATAGTTCTATTGAATGAACAATAAAAAATATCAGTTGATTGCTATCAGAATTGGTCATAAATATTTCTGATTAAGTTCAGTGTTACGAACATTTCAAATAAGGGAAATATTACATAAATCAATTAATAAAACGGTTATTGTAGCTAGAAATTTTTATATTATTACAATGAAATCCTCAGTATAATAGCCATTCTTTTAACGTGTCGATTTATTCTTTCCTGTACTGAGACTCATACCCAGAAAGCATACTGCTTTCTCTGCAAACAAAAATATGTCATTTCTGCTTTGATTTTTCATTTTGAATTAGAAGAACTTCATAACTAAAGCTCTATGGGAAATGAACATCTTTTTCTTTTATATAACCACTGAAATATGTAGATCCCACCTACCATACCTTACTGCTTTGCACGGTCATACCTTGTTGTTTAACTTGCAGTTTTGTTTCGCCTCTAATAATTGAAGAACTTTATTTCTGTTGAAAATAGACTCAATAGACACGAAAGAAAACTTTTGTGGGATGCTTCTATGTGGACTTTTATGTCGGAGTGATCATGCTAATCTCATGCTGCGATACATCCGTTTCCATCAAAATGTAATATATTCTGATACGACATAAAACATAGCATTATTATAAAAAACAAGGCGGCTCAAAGTATTTTAATATCATGAGAATTATTACACTTCTTAACTTACGTATGTGCACCTTGATTGATATCACCTTAGTTTCCGGATGACATTTCACCGTAAAAAAGTAGATTTTATAAATGTCTCATTGTTTAAATAGGTTAAGCACGGATAAACATGAAGTCTCGTTAGATTACATTGGAAAATAACTTTATTTAAACAAACCGTTCTGATAAAATAAGATCTACCATACGAAAAGCAATCAGTTCTAGAATGTGAAGGATTCATAGCTAATTACAACTGGCATTCGTTCGGGGTAGAGGTGGACCCGCACGGACAACGATTTATGCACACAACCATTTCATGAGGAGTGATTTGGTGCTTACGAATTTGCCCAGTAGGATCGAGTGGCGATAACGCAATTGGGAACTAGAAAAAATTTTAGCATAATTTGTGCAAACTTATATTAACATGGCACTCCCAGCGTGAGTTTGTGAATACCCATGCATGGACAGCACAAATATATCGTTCATCTACGCACTGGTAAGACAAATGATCATTTAAAACTAATTAGAAAAGGTCAATTTGCTATGTTAATCTTCCCCTAATTAATCAAATGACTGAACGCACCTGCCAAGGTAAACAGTTAGCCAGCGAGAAGTCAGCAGTATCATTTGAGATTATTGGTCTAGCAAGTCGTACTCGCAAATTGCCATTATGTAGTGAAGCGTACTGAACAATTATATTCTGTCTATCATCCAGTTTCGGTTGTCTAAAGCCTTGGACAAATTCGTCACTTACTAATACCTTGTTGTCCAGTACACGTACGCTAATGAAATCAAGACCATCGTTCTAAAACAATGCAAAGACGGTTAAATTTAGTATTGTGTATAAAACCAATATCTCATTCTTAACTCTGAGTGGGTTAAGTTTTATATCAAATGATAAGTTTTGGTCCGCATAGTTTTTTCAAACCTATATTAACCATAGACTGTCCAAAAGCAACGCCAGTCCAAGTATTAGTTCCTGCTGGATACTGAAGATATGTAAGTTGAAGATGGACATGTTGTTGATCCCTTGCGAATTGTAATTGATATTGTCCTTGTTGGTATTTACATGCAGCTACACATCCTAAATCATTTCTTAAATTTATTTCTTAAAAAGGATGAAACCAACAATTTCCATCTGATTTCGGCTGTATATGTTCTAATACCAACTTTCAAAATTGTGTTTCATAAATCAACGGCAATCTCGTACATAAACATGAGAATCGATTATTCTGTCACAATTTTACTAAGATAGCACTAAACAGAATAACTGATTATCATTGCATGAAGTATCATAACCGTGTCATTAATTACTAGAACAGAAATTTGAAATGTATACAACACTAAGATACAGAAACAATTATTTCCAACCCCACCTTCGTTAATATAATTTGCCTTGTGTGCGAAACCAATAAATAGAGAAAACACTTGGTTTGTTCTCTTTTTATTGAATGAAATATGTGGAGTTGGAATCTGTGTTACTAATACTAAATTAGTAATTAATATAATTAATAATATTAATACAATGAACTAAAATCAATAATATTAATATATAATGAAATTTAGACGAACAGCGATGTGAGAAATCGTCGTTTTCTACTCAATCGATATTCCTGGGGTGAATAATTAGTTATTTGTCATTTTGAAAAGAAAACGAAGGAAATGCTTAAGCGCACTATTAAAATTTCCAAAACTAAGTAGGCATAGTGGAATGCTCCCCTTGACAACATTGTGGAATGGCTTATCAAAGAAGTCCAAGATATACAGTTAAGGTCTTTGGATCTACTAATCGTCCATTTCTTCTCTCAGCTATTAGCAAAAAGTGGACATTATTTTCAAATAAATGAAAAGTTTTATCAATTTCTTATCATTATCATTTCATTTAGTTTACAACCCAATATCTCCTCTATTTAATTAACATAGAAAAGATGGTATCATGAAGTCTGCTTTAAATAATAACTAGTTTTTTATCTTCATATAACTGCTGAAAAAAACTGTATTATTTGCTGAAAAAAAAAAAAAAAAACTGTAAAAACTGAATGATAGATCATGTAGAAATTGTCTTGCATTATAAATTAATCACTCTTTGACCAACACATTTTAATTCCCATCTTTAACTGCAGATTTTGAAGGCTAAACAACAAGCTCTTTTATTAAGCTCCCTCAAACTTCTTGTGAAAGTTGCAGAAACTGATTTCAACCGACCTAAAAAATGTACATAAATATTTAAAAAAAACACACCTGAAATGAGATAACTGAGACAAATCACTGAAAGAATCTGAAGAAAAACAAGCCAGTTAGCCATCAGTTATTCTTCCAGACACCTAAGAAATACTGCGACGCCTACCCTTTTTTTTGCATTAAAATGGACGAAAAACCCGTCCCGCCCGTGATAGGCGGAGAGAACCTGTTGGACGACCTCAAATCGTTTTTGTTGTTTGAACGCATCGCAAAGCGCTGCGTGAATTTAACGCAATGAAGAAGCTTAAAATATACTATTTTATTTTCTCCAGATTTCATTAGCTCGACCAATCATTTCTGCTCAATATTCCTACCCAAACCGGGAATTCTGACACTCCAGATACTCAACCAGTCTAACGGACGAAATTTTTCGTTATTTATATACCAGCAGGATAATTTGCACATTTTCATAGCAGAATCTTATGCCCTTAAGGCAGCGACACTTCCAACACAATAGTAATGGTAGTGGTACATATTTGCAGCGAGTAATACAAAGTTCTCAATAAAAAAAAAAATCAAGTTTTAAACGCAAATACACGCTTATATCAACTTTCTCAACAGCTTATTTTTTCTAATTGAATCCATCTTTCAATCAGATTTAATTCGTATAGATCGTACGACTCCATTACGTTTTATTAAAACAACTGGAGCCATCACTAACTGGCACCACAATGAAATATTGCTGCACACTGAGAAAACGAACTACCCAAAAATGGAACAGAGAAACCTTCCATAAAAAATTACCCTTAGAATCGCAAAAACCATGTTACTATCTTCCTAAAAATAAAATTTACAGAAAACTCCAAAAAGAGCATGCTGACTAGACTACACAGATAAAATCCAATCCACAAATAAAAAGCCTGCCGGTTTTTTAATCCAAGCTTATGCGTACGTAAGATCTTACGTACGTAGTGACGAAATTCTCAAACAACAGTTTGAGTTCAAGATTCGAACCCGAGTTAAATTCTCTTCAGATCAAAGACTAAATATTAACTTTAGTCAGGATTCAGAAACCAAACCAGCGTGAAGAATGACAAATACAGATTTAGTAATCTAAACAAATCACATAACAAATGAAGAATCAATCGAAGAAAGCAGGAATATAAATATTATCGTCAACAAGGATAATAAGTACCAAACGAGGCACTTGATACAAGTCCTCAAATAACTTCACAATTGCCGCACTTACATGAAATTTTGCGGGAAAAAAATGTGGCATTGAGTCATGTGTTTCGGAACTGGCTTCCACTTTTGAAAATCATGCAGATGAAAATGCTGATTTTATTTTTCGAACTTATTGGTGTTTGGATTTTCGAAAAACATTAAGAATTGTAAACTTTAGTCTGATTGAACAAAATCCGAACTATACTGAAAAACATTCACATTAATACAGCCACAACTGGATAGGAACATACAAAGAAAAAGAACAGCATTCACAAAATTATCACCAAAACATATTAATAATAACGATAACACACTTATGTACTAATAAGTTCTAGCAGATCATTTTTGAGCAAAGGATGCAATCACATGTAGTTCACACAATTATAAAAAATATATATTAAGTGAAATAAAGTAAGAAAAGCGAAATAAAATTACGATATAAGGATTCCATTATTCATTCTTATTCTATATGAACAAATTATCCCAAATACCAAGACAACTTGGAAACGGAAGAACAGTAACATTAATACTTGATTTCGTTAAACAGTTCATCACCTTACAGAAAGACAACTAATCTTTTCAAATTTCCGTCAACACATCTTTCCAAACTCTTATTTGAGTACCTTGTAACAATAGCACACCAGTATCAAGCGAGGTATATATAATATAAACGAAACCACTGAAAAAGAATATTAGCCTAAGAAAACAGAAATGACCATAAAACATCTCACTGCTCTTTGTCAATGCCATACTTTTCAGTAGAATTAATACTGCAGAACTAGAATTTCGTTGAAATATCAATAACTCGACCAAAACAGCATGTCTAATCAGCTGTTTATTCAGATTCAACTTTTGCAACACTTTTCCTTTACGGTTTTATTTGTAGTCATGCAAGAATAAAAAGGCCACTGGAAATAATTTATTACTGTTAGAATGGGTCAAAAGATTGTGATTTTGACAATGCGAAGCAGTACGATGTCGTGATAACCCAAAATCAATATAATGTAGAAACAATCGTCAACTCCAGAAAATCACTAACTAGTTTCTTCCAAACAGGAGAACCTGTTCGACAAATGCTAGCTAAACTTTGTTTAAACTGCCCGAAGTTAATTCTTCCGAGCTGATGTGGGAGTAGCAACAGATGGTGCAGCAGCAGCGAGTGATGAAAATGATGACCTGCATGACTCCAATGAAGCCACTGAACCCCTAAATTATCTATTTTGAAATTACTAAGTTGGTTAAAGCATTAAGTACAAGGCAAACATTTTCAAAGGATTAGCTGTCTTTCACCGTCTTTTTCGTCTTTTATTCTCTCGTTGTAAAGAAAAAGTAAGGACATCAGTAACTTGGACCATTTCAGATATAAATCTTTGAAAATAAGCCCAAATGTTCATTTTGTTTTCTTTGGAGGTAAAAGATAAACACTTAAAGAGAGATTGATACTACATTTAGGAAATTATCAAAAAACAATATATAACTATGTATTTGTGACCAGATAAAAATTAACGAATGATTCTGCATTGTCCAGTGAAGGCGAATTTCAACTTAGAAAAAACTGCGCAAATAAAACCTTCCCCATGGTATATGCGTCACATTCCAGTTTTATATTATAGTAAACTTAATGATCTTGATTTAACAAATGAGAGTAAGTACCTCAATAAATGCACCATAGGCAGCATCAAATGCCACAAAATTGTCATCTAGGGATTATATAAAATAAAATTTGGTGGAACCATTGACTTGCCTAAAATCCAAGGAATCCAACAATTCGTGATAATACATAATTTTGCACTTGTGACCAGACAAAGAAAAATCGAAGGACTGATTCTGTACTGATTCGAGATGACGCCACTGCAGGATATAAAAACCTGCCTGGGGACAATAATGCGAACCTTGCATTGAATCGCCTTCTGTGAATTGCACAGGCTTCTCTTCTAACCTGCAAACTTAGCTATCGAAAACAGTACGATAAAAATATTTTAGCTAAAATCTTTTCAAATTTTAAAACTGCTACCTAGCAAAATGAACTAAAAGTCTTTTCTAATTTTTTTTTCAAGATAATTGCTGGTTAAATGAAAACCAATCAAAAATTCACTTTAAATTAACTCCAATAGTTAATTTCGGATCACAGAGCAATGCAGAATTCGTAACAGTATTTCCTATAACTGCCGTCACTCTTTCAACAGAAGTAAGAACAGAGGGTGAATTCGGTGTGATGTTCGCCTCTACTTGTTTTTCCGTATAATAAATCAAGAATTCACATTCACCCTAAAAATATTAAATTCATCGTTACATACTAAACTACAAAATGTTTAAAAAGGTCTAGGAACTTAGTTTTTCCTTCGGTAGTGCTTAACCCGAGTAACCCCAAAAATTATTTAACATTTTCTCAGTAACCCCTTCGATTATCACTACCAATACAAAACTAGCAGTAACGAATGATTATTAAAGAAACCTTTAAAATATCGAAGTCCCATGTGAGAACGCATCCTTCAGTAGTCACTCTGACAACCACTTCATGTGGTGTTCCCTTATAAATGTTCGCTGACTGGTAAGTTGATTTCAATACATCGTCTTCTATTACGGTCTGTGACCACAAATCATAAATCGTTCTTTACAGTACTGATGGGATTAGTTGACGTAGCAATTAAATTGACTCATTAACTTGCTAAGCTAAACTTTTGTAAAGAATTGAAGTTTAAAACCCCTCACTTCTTCCACCGGTTTGTACAAGCTCTTGGGAATATGACCACCTTCTGGCGCAAAACACGAGCACGTTCCACCCAAAAATTCTGGAATATATTGTTCCTCGATATATTTTCTAAGTTCAGAAATCACCGGCTCACCCGCATTTATCATAAACTTTTTTCTTGTGTTTTCATCAATAAATGGTGAAATAAGTGTCCACAAAACTGGGAAGACACGTGGTGCTCGAGCTATCAAAACTAGTCCCATTGTTTCCGGATAATGTGCTTCTGCAACTTCAATTATTCGTAATAGGGCTTGAATTCCTGGACGCCAAAGATGTCTCATGCTTAGACCTTCCAAATCAACAAGCAACGTCCACGTACTGAAAATATTAACTTTCATCTTATCCAGCTTACACCTACTTGCCAAAAAAGAAGTGGGAAAGCAATTTGAATGTCCTCTTTCAAATGGAAAGCTAATTTTTCCTAAACTATCATAAACTGAATTAAAACAAAGTTTTTCTTCTGAAAAGAAACTCAAGAAGCTTTATTGAAAATATATAATATCAGAAATCGAAACTAGGTAGAAGTGCAAAAAACAAGGAGGAGGAAAAGATAACCTTATGGGAGCACCAAGCATTTTTGTGGCTTTAGCCGTTTTAATAAGCCCTTGTTCGACTACTGATAATGTAAATTTCATAATCGTTTCCATACCACATGTCCGCAACAAACCTTTCATATCGAGCTTACCCAGACGCAAAACAAATACTGGTCTAAAAGCCATATGAAATCCGTCAAACAAATTAATGGAATTCCTTTTTCGGATAATTGATTTGTGTACCTGTTACAAGAAAGTTTACTATTGTCTTATTTTCATTTAAAAAATGGGTTAATCTTGCTTATTTTTTACCTGCCCTCTTTATCGTTATGGTGCCAACAACCAGGAAAAAACTGTTTTAAAATAGGTGGTGCTTCGAACTCTTGCAAAATTTTGTCCACATTATGTTGTTTTCGCCACTTAACACTTTTCTGTACCATGTCGCTCGCTCGAGCCACATCGAAATCGCGAGCACGTAAAAAACGTAGCAGATGAGCATCATTCGGGAGTTTCCCCTGCAGAAAATTTCATCAGATGAACTTTTTTTATGGCTACAACTTCAAATAAGGACAAAGTCTTGGCATATCCACACTTCCTCTTAACGCTAACAAAGTTTACAATAAAAAATTTACATGAATGCAAAATACGCATAAGCTGTAATCGTTGTCACATGTTCAATATAACACGCATATAATATATATTCTTATTTCTGTCAAGTTTACTGAATTGAGAAATCCGTTTCCAGTATTTCCAAATTCTGATCCTAAACTGCCTCATCAAAAACATAAACCTATACTATCTCATCAAATTGAGACATAGTACTACAGAACGTTCAACTCTTAAAACAAACGCTGAATACCAATAAAGCTAAAACAAACCTTAAGAGTATCCTGTAATCCATATTTCAATTCGCAAAGACGACTTTCTTCTAGAGTACTGAGCTGTCCCAAAAAACGGCGAATATATTCCGCTTCCAATCTTGCTTCAGCTACAACAAAATGAACATTAAATTGCATTTCATTGTTTCGACCATAAACTCTTGCCAGAAACAAAATGTTTCAGTAATCAAACTTGGTGTTGACTCGCTGTTATGAGCCCCACAATAACGCGAATCATTTCCAGTAGTAGAAATGCAATCAAAATGGTGTTTAAAGGTCATGGGATAATAAGACAATACTAAAGTTAAATGAAAAAAATATTAAATGTCAAAGTAATCAGCGATTTCCTATTGACAGGCCGAAATATAACGCAATCTCAGCAAAAAAACAACCTTAAAAGTTTAATAAAGAGATCACATAAACTTTGTCAATGTCATTTAAACATTTCACGCTTACATTTTAAAAGAATTTTTCAAAAAAAGTACAGTGTCTCAACATATGTCTCACCCTAGTCATTCATTCCTTTCTTATTCTGTTTAAAATAATAACATAAAAAAAAAGATAACAAATTATGCTGCTGAAAAAAAAGTAACTCAAGTCTAAACTTTCCAGAAAGCTTCACCTTTTATCAGCCATTAAAAGAGAGTTAAGCATATTCTTCCAAGGAATTCAAAGAAATAGAAATAAAACTGAGAACTTTTTAATCTCTTCTTCATATATCTTCTTATAATTTATTTATGAAACAGTAAAATAAGGAAACAGGAGATGCTGAGAATTTCTTCCACCATCATTTGTTAATTAAAGTTAAAGCCTGACATATTTTCTCAAAGAAGCAATGAAAAACCAAAACTTAACAATGAAGAAAATGTTGAATACACATATAGCAAAAATATGAGACTTTCACAACACAAATGTAGTTCAAATAAAATAAAAAAACCTACAATCATCGATGGAATTTCGAGGTGCAATTGACTTCCGAGGTAAACCAATGGATGATTTCACGGTAAGAGAAAACCTTTGGCTATGAGAGGATGATCTACGCTGTCCTACCATTTCCAAGCCAGCTTTATCCTTCTCTTTTTCCTCGTCATCAACTGGTCGCGAAACATCAATCGCAGAATCAGCCGCTGATTCTGTTGTATCATTGTATGGAGGAATAAACGTTACACCACTTTTGATCAGTTCATTAATGAAATACTCCAGCACTTCTTTTCCCTGCAAAATGAATTCCCGTAGGGACAGTCCATCCCAGCTGAAAGTGAGTTTCTCTGAAAGGCTCAAAATTTTCCCACGGAAAATAATTTCCAAAAATGATACCTTCGCAAGATTGGCTGCATACTGCTTCACTGCCAATTTCTCAACCGTAGATTCAAAACCAAAGAATGATTTAACATCCAGTGAGCCACTTTGTTCAAAACAAGTCCATTCATTGTTTTCAGGATGAACCTACAAAGGAATCATTATATTATACATATTTCTATAGTCCGCATTAAAGCTACGGTTAAAACAGAAAATTTATGCCATCATTCTAAAGATTAAGTTGAACATGAAAATCTACTATTTAATAAATCAACAGTAAAAACTTGACAATCAAATTATCTCATAATTTAAAACAGCAACAAAACAGGAATGTTTTGATAAACAGAAGCGAGAAGAAACAAGTACGTAATAAAAACAAGTTTCCTTGACATCGATTCTGGTCGCAAAAGAAATATTTGTTGCTTCTATGATAAGCGTCCGTTTTCTACGATTAAGCGAATTTTTCTGTGTAAAGTAAACATAATCAACACCAGCTATCTGAAAAAAATTAATATGATATTGAAAACTGTGAATCTAGCTACCTCAGAAGCAATCTCTCGTAATCTTATTTCAGTGGGAACTTTTAAAACAAAATCACTTTTTTGACGAGATATGGCGCATCGATATTTAGCTGACATTTGCGCTCAATTACTTCTTCCGCACCATCTTCCGAATGATATTCATAGGTAATTTCAGAGCCAACAAATATCGGGATTTGGGGACAAGTTGGAAAACGTTTCTCATATGCCTGAATGAATATTTAAGTATACACCAAACTGTATTCAAGCAAAACTGTATTGGAACAAAGCTTTATTTCAGGGAACACTCTATATCTTGTGCCTAGTAACGAGTAAAAATAACAACAGAAAAATTAAAATAGAACAGCATTATCCTCCAAAAAAAAAAGAAAGAAAAAAAAAAAAAAAAAAAAAAAAAAAAAAAAAAAAAAAAAAAAAAAGAAAAAATAATCCCAACATGATCAAGAAAAGAAAAACTAACTGCCATCACAATTTCAAATGGATATTTGTATACACGAACCGGACTCTGATAAGTCTGCACCATTGCTTATTACCTGAAAGTGATCCTACACTGAACTCGATGTCTGTTTTACTAATGTACTGAACGTATTACATTCAATTCTATATGGATAGTATGATGATGCTATTCTAACAAACGCATGAACTGTACGCAATTAATAGAGACCAGAATTCATTAAAGAATTTATATAAAAGCTTAACTAAGAAAATTAGAAAAATGTAATATTATGAGAGAAAGATCTATTTATGCAACAAAATAATTTCCACAGACTGACAGTACATAAAAATATATGTTACTAGCATAAATAAAGAAACACTAATGTAATATTACAAGGAGTTTGCGGAAAGGTATTAATGTGCAAATGTTTATATATATGCGTTTGTGCAAAAGAAAATTACTTAGCTAATTTAAATATTATGATCAGAATAATGCAACCATGTCTCAGTATAATTACTCGAATTGCTTCTTTTTCTACGTAGCAAAATAGAATTCATGCAAGAATTACTGAATGTCCTGATATTTTCGGTCTTCCAGTGCAACATAATCGCTGGTATTAAACTATATCAAATAAGACAAAAAAATGAACAAAAAATCGTAACTAGATTATAAAACAAGGGTTACAAAACATCAGAGACTTTCTGATATTTTGTTTTATTTGATTTAATTAGTAATGTAGTGTGATAAATTAACTACCGAAAACTGAATTTTCAGATTAACATATTTGCATTTCAATATGATTTCAAACTCATTAAGCATCGAAAAACTATGCAATTTAGTTGAAATAAATTGAAAGGAATAAACGTCATGAATTTAATCCAGCAAGCGTTCTACATCAAAAACCTTATGCACCACAATAATCGCTTATTAATCTACCAAAAAAGGTACAGTGCTTCTTCACAAAGCATACAACCTTAGTCAAAAAATAAAATAAACTGAGAAATGAGTAGGAAACGACTTCAGAGAAGCAACCTTAATCAAGTGAGAGAGAGGAAAAGCGGCGACGCACAGAAAAAATGATAAGGAGTAAGGATGAAGTACTGATGTACAAAGCTGTTTCAGTCAACGATCTTGAAGCACATTTATGCCTTAAAACTCATTCATTTATTTCATACAATGGATTAAAACCACTGCAAGAAATAGGTGCAAACTCTGCTTTATAACTTGGAAGAACTTATCCTTTTCTCTCTTTTGTCTATTCTTAACTTAGACCACAACGTTCTAATTTTTCCTCTTTTCTTGAATGAGTGTGAAGTTTCTTGTCTGCTTACGAGTTAACTGAAAAGCGTTTGAACATTCTTATGAAAATATGTTGCAAGGGAAAACCTATACCTTAACAAGCTAACAAAAAAGCAAGGACAAGGTAAGTTTGGTTAAATGTTCACTACACTCCAAAAAGTATGGAAATGATTCCAACCGAACCACAACAGAGAAAAAATAAATGAACTCGCCATTTACGAAACTCTCTTAAAATAAAGGGTAACAGTGCAACAGATTTAAATAACTTTTAAGTTATTCTAAAACAGTAATTCTTGAAAAAAAGACGACGGAAGAAAAAGCAAAATTTTATATGTGTGCAAAATATATCAATTAGAATTTGAAATTTTAAGAAATTCTAATTCCATCAGCTGACCTGCCGCTATTTTCAGAGAGATCTTATAAGCTAGCTTTGTTTCTTAAAGTATTACACACCATTTTTCAAGTGCTAACAGCTATGTCTTACCTTTAAAGAGAACGGAGCCTTTTGTCTTTTCAGAAATTGAGGTTACTGCTACTTCTTTTATCCTGCATAAAAATAAAGAAGAAAAAGCGAGTTCACTTTCCCATTTCTCAATTTCCTTCTCCAGTAGCTGGATCACAATTAGAAAAGTATTACGTATAGCATAACAACAAACAAATAATGACAGAAATTGGCAATAATTAGTAACAATATGACAAGTATGGTCAACTCGAATACAGAAATGAATGCCGGAATACTAACATTTAATCACGAAAGATAGAAGTAGCACAGCTTGGTGCTAGTCAGAATTTCATCTAATTTTAACTTTGAGACGAAGAGCTAGACTTCATCATAAACACTACAAATATCTAGTGTGTAACTCAGGAAGGTATCATTAGCTAAATTTTCATAAGCAAAAAGTCAATCTGACGAGACCACGGTGAAAAACTTGATCCCATATGGTCTTTTCAATACCGAAGATTTGTTGCATACTCAGTTATCCGTATTGAATGCATTATATGATGTACATCCAGTAACTATGAGGTTTAATAATTGCAGAATTATCCTCTGTTCAAATGTGATATACGGGACTTTGTGATCTCCCATTCAGTGACAATGACACTGGTATAGTAAGACACTCCTAAAACCCCATATATAGCAGCCATATGTGGAGATTAACAATATTAACGAGAAAAAACAGTAAGGGAAATGAAATGTAAAGAAAATCTTGGTATGTTTCCCTAAACTTCTCTGAAAACCATCACGTCATTTTGTTTCCTCTGCTTTCGTTGAGTATCCTGAAAGTAAGGGAGAAAAAGGAGCATTTGCCTGCTACTGACAAAAAACAAGATGTAACGGAAAGAACGACACACATCCATCTAAAATGAAGAAGCCTGTTACGAATGTTGATTAACTTTGTTCCATCAGGCAATTGAGTGCTCTCGAGAAGTAAGCAAAGTGCGATAAACTGAAAAGATTCATCAGACTCATAAAGTAAATTACGGCCCGGGCTGCGAAGTGAATGGGTGGGTGTGATGTGGGAGTGAGAAGTTTTCCGGTTCTGTATAGTCACATGGGTAGTGCTTGACTTCTTTCATGTAACTTCGTGTCATCAAGAACAATATCGTAGAGAAAATTTGAAAAGCTTTATGGTAACTGCGGTTATCTTACAAAAGGACCATTTCCCTTTCTACTTTGTTCTTCCTGTATTTTTGTCAAAATTTCTAATGGATTTAATCAAAATCTCTGTTAGTATATTTATACAGAGCGATATTTTCGGAGAGCAGAAGGACACGAAGGACAATCAGAATTAGATACGTTTTAGAATTTTTAGTCAATGAAAGACCTAAGTTATAGGCATCGCTCGGTATTGATGAGAAGGGCATCTCATGTATTATTCAATACCTTCAACCAGGTATAAATTTGTTTTTTTTTTCTTCGCTTTAGAAATGATTAACGAATGTTTCTTAAAACAGAAAAATTTGCAGTTGGCTTGCTGTTTTTCTTCGGATTTAAGTTAGTTGAGTTGATCCTAAATGATTTTCAAAGAATGTGCTATGCTCAGGTTTTCTTAACTTACATTTAACGTTGATTGCAGGATTTCGGCTGTTTTGTATGTGGACTGGATGATGGTTTTCGGATTTATAACACGGATCCGTTGAAACAGAATTTTAATGAGAAATTAAATGGTGGCATTGGAGCAGTGGAGATGTTATTTCGTTGCAATTATGTAGCACTTGTTGGTGGGGGCGTAACGCCTGCTTTTTCAACAAATAAAGGTTTGATATTTGTTTTTCTTCCGAGAAAGGTACTGTAGTTTTCGTGTGAGAGAGTTAAGGACAGATCTCAATCTTTTTTTGTTAATAGTGTATCAGTTTTGTTATTTATTTGCAGTGATAATTTGGGATATTATTAATCATAAAGAAGTGGTTCAGTTAGAGATGAATAGTGATGTACGAGCAGTACGTTTACGTCGCGACCGTATTGTAGTGGTTCTCGACACATCCCTCCATATTTTTAGGTTAGCTTTGTGATCCTTCTCTTAACATTTGTAATTTGTTGTATCGGAATATTTCTGACTGCTTCTTATATCAACCTTACTTCCACTTTGTTTACTCTAACTATGAGTCATTTGCATTAATTAGCTGGAAACACACAAAAAAAAATTGAGGCTTGTGAAAAAGTTGAAAATATTATGTAAAGCATTTAGTTATTTTACTGAATCACTGGGCAGGTACTTCAAGATTACGTATTTTTCCTTCTGAAATTATCTCTAGTTTCTTTTTGAAATAAATTATCCCCTGTTTTTTTTTTTTTTTTCGCAAATATTTCTAGCAAACTGATTGTTTTACTTGGAATATATGTATATGTATAACCATGATTATCCAGATTGTTCATTTCGTTGGTTTATAGTTTCACAGATCAACCTAAAAAATTGCAAGTATATGATTCAAGTAGAAATCCACGTGGAATATGTTGTTTGTGTCCAGCATCTGAAAATTCTCTTCTTGCTTTTCCTGCACCCTCTTCATCGTCGGCAGTTTGCTGTTTAACATTGGCCGAACCAGATGCTCCTCCCAGAATAATCAATGCCCATCAAAGACCGTTATCTGCCATTGCACTTAACCTTACTGGTAAAGCACTATTTCGAAAGATGAATTCATTTGTTCGCCAGGTTATCGAAATAGTTCTTGAACCTAACAAATGAAAAGCTGCTAGTGAAATTATGCATAATGACAAAAAAAAGAAAATACTGGTTTTGACCACGTTTTGATATGTTCTCCATTACAGGGGAACAGTTAGCTACATCTTCTGAAAAAGGCACCATAATAAGGATTTTTGACACCAAAACTTGTCTTTTGTTGAAAGAACTGCGACGTGGAACGAATCCTGCTTCTATTTTTTGGTATTTCAATTTCACTTCAAATTTTTCCTTGAAACTTGTAGAATTTGACAGGATTCTGAACACGTTTTTGTTTCTAGTATGAGTTTCTCAGTGGATTCGACCATGCTGTGCGTATCTAGCAATCATCATACTATTCATTTGTTCTCTTTGGCTATGAAGAAGAAGAAAGTGTATGTTCCTGTGATTAATATTTCCTAGGAAGTAATTTTTCTGCATTTGTTGATCGTGGATATTTGACATGCTTTGAAGATAACAATCCTCCTTGCCTCTGTGTTCAAAACTTTTTTTTAGCCCGCTGAGGAAGTTGAGTTTTTCTGGTGAAGTCAGCGTCTCACGTTTCCGATTACCTTTCTGTTTTAAAGACAAGGATTCCTGCATATGCGCTTTTGGACCACAGCCTGATTCTGTCATTGGTAAAAAATTTTCCTGTTAATTGAACTTTTCGCTATTAACCTAACAGGTTAAATGTTAAAGACAGTTGATTCATACAAAGCTTTGGCATTTTCAGTAGTCTCGTCCGATGGAAGCTATTGCAAATTCAATTTTTATTCAGAACGGAATGAGTGCATACGACAAACTTGTTCACTCTATTTGGAAATAACCAGTGATTCATAAATCTTGTATACATTTTGTGCTGTTACGTAGTATAGGATAACGAGACTGGAATAAAACTAGGAGCAGTTTAGCTTGTTTCATTGTAATGCTTAAACACAAATCGTGTTTCTTTCTTTTCGGCCTTTCAGATCGATGTCTCTCAGTTTTGTTGTCTTTCGCTTGGTTTGAAAATTAGAGTATTATATTTGGCTGCTTGGAGTGATGAAAGTAGTTCCGGTTACTCTTACTGAATTCATTTGGCCTTATTGCAGTTTCGTATTACTATATATTACGTTATTCTTAATATATGTGTCATAATCTTGGGAGAAATAATTTTTGTTGCTTATGTTTCCTCCCTGAACGCATTGTTCCGACTCCTTTTTAAAGTCAAGATATTGTGAGGGAAATTCCTTTTTTTATAATTCGGTGTAATCTCTAACTAATGTACTTCTGGAGCAACTTGGATTTAGCAAATCCTTTGATGATTTGTCCAAATTTCTCTTTTTTAACATCAGTTTTTTTAATTTGCATTTTACTTACTCATCTTCACCGAATTATCTTATTTATCATACGTTTGTATTAAAAATGTCGCATTATTCTAAACCATTTTGATATCTCTTCATCCACAAGAAAGACGATATAAGGTCAATAATTATACCACTATAATTATAATAAATTGTTTTTGTCATAGGGTATTTCTAACTTCCGGAAGACAAATGGAAAAATAGTACTTCAAGTTCATAAATGGAGAAATAGTACTTCAAGTCTTCAAGATTTACTACCGAGCTATCGACCGCTTTTGGAAGAAGTTTCGTACATGTAGATGCTTTCAACTTCAAATTAGGGTAGTGAGACTAATTTATTCTCTCCTAAAGCTAAATGCTGGTGCACTGGTGTTTTATTAGGAATATGCTAGAACATTCATGTTAGTATTTTAAATCCATTCTTCATGTCAGACTTTAACCTCCCCACTCAGTATTGAGATTGTCCACCATTATAGACGTCTCAATCTTTGCTGGAGTAACCTATGCCGAGGGAAGAACACTTTTGAAAACAGTAAATCCAGGAGTTACCCGTCTGGTGTAGTAGGTGAGTGCCGTTTGGTTGAATAGATTGCCATGCAATTGCCTCTCCGTGAAATACTGAACGGTCTTGTGCAGGATAGGTTAAATTTCAACTGGTCATTGGGATTTGCAATTTCTAAGGGTGGATTGGATATTGAGCTCGTTCAGAGTTATTACCTAATTCTGAAATACCTCGTGAAGTATGTTCAACATTGGGGGATACTGTTGTTGCTGTTCATTATCAACACCTTTTCTTTTTTGTAAATGTTGAATGAAAAGTTTGCACTGGGTTTTCGCGACTTTAAGTTATAGATAGTGTTTGTTAAAATTCTCAAGCTCTCATATAACACACATATATGTTTATGTATTCATATATTTATGCTGTATATATTTGTAGTGTTCTATGTTTATAACGGTTTTCATAGACTGCATTAGCTGTTGGAAAATTCCAACGTTTTAAGTATCAAATTTTCGTTATTTTCATTCGAAACAGGAGATTTTCGGAAGTGTAATACATAGTGTATAAACCCTCATCTTCAATTTTTGTCGTTTTATTCAATAGCTGAAGGTTATATATGTTTCTACTGGAATTTGGTTTTTGGTTTCTTCTTCCATGAATTCAAAAAAAAAAAAATTGATGAACGAATTTTTTTCATTACTTTCATCTCCCGCCACTTTTTATTTATATACGATTCAGTTCCTGGTATATTTTTTGTCATCAGTGGAATGCGCTGTTCAAGATGCAGTTAAACAGTTAGGCTCTAATTTATAAACTAGGAGGAGTGGTGTTTCTTGCCTTTTCTGCTCTTTGTACTATGTCTGGTTTGATTCTTTTAGGCAGTAATGTCATTTTTAATTTTCTTTCCTCAGATTTTACAATTTGATTGATATACTTTATTCTTCTTACAAAGATATGAAGTAATAACGAGGAAAAGAGTTGTCATTTTTCAATCACAACTGATGTACTTCCTCATGTGTGGAGTAAATACAAGATGCATTTCATTCGGTTTAATTTTATGCTGCTTATTGCTTTACTTTATTCATTTATCAGTGTTTTTGTTCAGATTTTCTACAAAGAAATATAGACTTGCTCAGTTTGAACAGTTCAAAAATTATTCATTGATAGCAGTTTGAAAACGAATGATGAGTACTGCAATGTAAAAAACCTAAAAAATTATTTTTATGAAATAGATGTTTTTTTCCTTAGAAGCTAGTAGGAACGCGCTAGATCTTGAATAATACAAAGGAAAAGGGAAATGAAGAAGAAATGGTTTGAACTAAAGTCCAGTTCATAAATACTGTTGAAACAATGTGTATGTGAAGTGGAAAAGGAATTGTCGTGAATTTCTGGGAATTTGGAATTTGGAAATTAATTTTTAAATGAGAAAAATAGCAGATTATCTTGGGTTTTGTGTGATTCATCTTTGCAGCTATATCGTAGTGATTTTCGTCAAATGTATGTTCTAGTTTAAAACGTCAAATGAACGATAATAAATAGTGAGGTCGGTTTTTTTTAGAATGGTTGTAAATGCACTCGGAATTGTTGCATAATTTGGCTTATAATCACTGGTCGATGAAATTCGTCGACCGATCTATTCTTTATATGTTGCTCATGGTTCGCATAAGTTTTAGGAACGATCATACATGTTTATATATAATTTGTGCGTGTGTATACGAGCTGATACCGTGTTAAATGTACCAGGGATGAATACTTTTATGTGTGTCTATATGTGAGCAGTTGTATTTATGTGTCACAAGATATATAATTTAGTTTACTGCACCTTTGCGACTTTTACCCTTTGATCTGCAATCTGCTCCCGTTTTTGAAATGCGCTTGCTGCAGTATTACAAATTTAGAACAGTCATTGTATATATTATATGATCTGGTCAAACACTAGTAAACGTTGTTTGTACATCTATGCTTGTTTTTATATATGTCTTGTATTAATCTACTTTGTTTTTAGTGGAATATTTTAAATTTCAAGCTATCAACTAATAAACTAATAAGTGTGTTTTCACAATATATAAATTCCGTGAGGACGTCGTATATTAACTATACATAGTTTTTAATTCACTTGTTCGCATATGTAGTGAAATTTCACGTTTTCAATCAAATTGAAGTCTTTTTAATTTTTTCTATTTTGTATAGTTGAGTCCATCTATTTAATAAGTGGTATACGTAATTTATCTGCACTTTCTCTGTTGTCTTCACTGTGGCAATATGAAATGCGCTGTCAAACTTGGTCTAGTATTTTCCCATCAAATGACATTTTGAGTGAAATCCGGAATCACTTCGGTTTTGGAACTTTATATTTGAACATTTAATAAGTGGTAATTCTGTTTTGCGCCTGGATCTTTCTCCTTTCCACAACTTTTTTAAAAAGAAATACAGTGGGCAATACTTTTTCAGGAATATCGCTCATCGAAGCTGCATTCTAGACTGACTTTGAGCAGTGATAATTGTACGAATTGCGTACTAAGCAGAATCTACCAATGCCACCTACTCTTCTTGACAGGTATTATTTCAAATTTTGAGAATCTATGATGCTGACCTGGCTTAGGCTTCGGTTTTTTTTCTATTCTGTTTTGTTAATAGCTCAGCTAGGACATCTGATTTTAGATGATTTTAAGCTTGTCAAAGTACTACATATTTTGTGATAGGAATTTTGAATCTCTGTTATATCTATGGTGATATAAACGGAACTTTGACAGTTGTCACTTGGGCTTTTCTGTTGAAATATAAGCATAGTTAGGCATGTGTGCTTTGTATGAAGTGTTAATAGTTGTAATTATTGTGAAAATTTCCGCGGTTTTAAAAATTTTGTATAGTTGTGAATTTAAAAGAAGAGATTAGAACAGGGCTAAAGAAGATTAGAGCTAAAAGAAGAGATTAGAACGTACATTATACTTTTTGATTATGATGCCTTGATAACTTATTGAGGAAAGCTCAAAATTAGCCGGATTTAATGCGTAGAAAAAGTTGATAGTATTGGTAAGTTTAGTGCTTTCAGGAGAAATCGCTTTTTGGTAGATTGTATGTGAGGTTTTGAGCAGCTAGGTGCATGCCTCCATGAATTAAACCCCCATCGAAATTTATGCGGCAGCTGGAGCCTTTATTATGTGGTAATATTTTCTGACCAAAATGTCAACAGCTTTTGTTGTTCATCTCACGATATTCCCTCATCAAATTACCGAAACACTGAATTTTCTAAAGTTAGCGAGTGGTACATTGCATGAGACGCGTAATGAAAAGATAAAGGTGGATAACCAAATGAAATTTGATCGTTGCGTTGCTTACTCTCTTCTATGTTTCGAAGATATCAGTTTTATTAGTTGTTGGTGAATGACAAGAGTGCTTTACATATATATCGATAAATTATTATAAAACTGGACCGTTGTTTCCTTTCTATCGTGACCTTATGCTCATCGTTAATCATTGTTGAATTTTTTATCCTTTTGCCTTCTCAGTGGACTTCAATTATAGGTTTTTTTCAATGCGAAATTTTACCCTTAGAAGCACTTGATGCATGATTAATGTTCAGTGTTCATTAAACGACAAAACGTATCCTTCTGCCTCCAGAGATTTAAGGATTTACATTTCAAAGTAAGATGGTAATTTATAATTTTTGCGATTAACCGAATTTTAGAGGAGCAGTTACTTGTCAATGCAATTTTTTTAAAAGATGCATTTTGTTACTAATTTTGAACTTGCAGTATGAAGTTTATAATCTAATAACCAATAACACTTTTTTAACCTCTTTTTATATTGATGCTTTCATATTTATCTTGGTTCACGTTATGTTACCAGATTCTGTCATAATTTATTTTCTCTCAAAAATGTATTAGATTCAGGCATTTCAATAAACTGTACGTATACAATATATATATGTATAATTATTATTACATATATTAAAAATCTGTATTACAGTCCTGCTTTAGACTGTTTTCGCTGTTTTA